CATTAACAACAATAGGAGGCAAACAATGGAAAAAAAAATTGAAACTGAAATTAAATGTCTACAAGAAATCCTAAATGTAAAAAGAAAAGGCAGGATAAGAAATGACAAGATCATGAAACAAGTCGAAACTGAACCGGTGCTAAACCAAATCAAGAGACAACAGATCAAATGGTTTGGACATGTGTCAGGACTACAACCAGATAGTGCACCACAGAGAGTCCAGTTTGTTAGGCACAACAGACGCAGAGCTAGAGGTCACCTGCACAACTGATGAATAGATGAAATATCTGTGCAGGCTGTGATTACCAGCATTTATGTACACATACCAAGTCTGGCACCAGATGCTTCTTCAAACCCTGGTGCTAAACGGCAAAACGGGGTCTAGAGAAAAGAAGGCTATCCTCCTAATAACGGTCGTAAATTATCAAGGCGGAAAATATACCCTAACAGAGCCTCAGTAACGTGTCAATTGCGCAGTTCCGTCGTCTTAAAATGCGAGCTTCCGGCGACTTCTGCAACCGCCGAATTGCAAACTTTCGGCAACTTGTGCCACTACCGAGAGTGTCCAACACACCACTCACGCGGCGTGGATTGGGGCTAAACTAGATGGCTAGGACTCACGGGCAGCAGCTACCGCATCTCCTGCAGCTTCCTTCATTTTATTTGCTCGTAAGTCCTAGCCATCTAGTTTAGCCCTAATCCACGCCACATATGCTGCGTGGGGGACACTCTCGGTGGTGGCGGAAGTTGTCGTAAGTTCGCAATTCAGCGGTGGCATTATAGTCCCCGGAAGTGCGCACTTAACACGTGACTCAGGCCCTGTTAGGGTATATTTTCTGCCTTGATAATTTACGACCGTTATTCGGAGGATAGCCAAAAAGAAGAATGAAGAAATAATAGAAGAACTATACTGTAAACACTAACTTTTCCCACTTATTTTTTTGGGGTGAGAAAATGGTTCGGAATTGGAAAAAGTAAACTAGAAACGACTGCTTCAGATCAGCACTTAACTCAGCATTGTATCAATAAACAAAGAGAACACAAGAGATTACTAGATGTGACTTGTGTAAATAATGAAATTTTTAAACTATTCCCCTGAAACGTGAACATACAGAAACATATGTATTTTATAGAAACAAACAAGAGCATGTTAATGGCCCACAGAAACTGAGAATGAGAAGAGAGTTGAAAGAACGAAAAAGACAGACAAATATAAAATAAAACAGCCGAATTAAACAACATGGCATATTTATAAACCATAAAAGAGGAAAAGGCTGAAAGGAGATGAGCGAAAATTTGGCAATAATACAATATTATATATATAAATGATGAAGAAATTGAAAATGTCATAAACTTTGAATATCTAGGCTCTATAATAAACAACATTGGAGACTGTTCTACAGAAATTAAAATGAGGATGGCCATAGCAATGAAAAGATTGAACAGCCTTAAAAGTCTATGGTTAAGCACCAGCAAGGAGATAAAAATTAGAATTTTGAGAGCATGCATCTTCCCTGTGGCTACATACGGATGTGAATCGTGGACTATCTCTCAGTCCTTAAGAAAGAGAATAGGGGCTTTTGAGCTGAAATGCTATTGAAAGATTCTCAGAATATCTTACACAAAGAAGATGAGAAATATTGACATCTTAAAAGATCTGAACATCAAGGAAGATTGGCTAATAAACAGCATCCTTTCTCGAAAGCTGAAATTTTTTGGTCATATCAAGCGCCACGACGGATTGGAAAAAATTATAGCAGAAGGCATGGTACCAGGAAGGAGGGGCAGAGGCCGACCGACACGAAGATGGGCACAGGATATAAGTGACTCCTTGAGTGTGAAAGTTCATGAGGCGGGAGAACTGGCAAGAGACCGAGTTTCTTACAGGCAGACTGTGATGAGAGCAACGTTCTGCAAAGGACCTGCTACATGATGACAATATTATACATGAAAAACTTATACAGACAGATAGCAAAAAGCAATCTATTAGAGCAGTGGTTTTCAACCTTTTTCAGGTGACGTCCCCATTGAATATATAAAAAGCCACCCCACCCTCCAGCACCCTCCCATCCCCACCAACTTTTATAATTAAAAGAAAAATCTGTTTAAAAGGATAACAAGAAAAAACCAAAGTACTAGAACAAGATCTATCTTATTTTATTAATTAGATTTTCAACTGCAGATGTGCAAACTGCTCATGAAAACAAAAACGTAATTGGCTTTTTGTTTTAAAGTTTTTAAACAATATTTCATTTATAATTAAACTGAGGAAAAAAAATGTTAGTACAACAGATGATTACAAGTACAAATTCAATTTCAAAATTGCTCCACCCTCCTCAGGGGTATATTTCCAAGGTTGAAAACCACTGTATGAGAGTGTGGCCTTTATGCATTGTGGAGATGTTATTGATTGACTGAGAACGTCAGAAAAATTTGCAGATTCAATCCATCAGGTGCTGACTCCACAATGAAGATTAGCTGCAATGGATTTACTGACTTGGTTTCATGTCCTGGTTGATAAACTCTCCTTATATCATTCTTCCCTTTATATTTTTATGCAGATCTTGCTGGCTTGCTTTTCTTCTAGTATGGATACCAGTGTTACATATTTTAAGGTGGTCATTATTTCATCAGGTGTAAGACAGGGATGTGTTATGTCGTCTCTCCTGTTCAACCTGTGATTGGTTGGATAATAAAGAACACAGTAGACAGGACATTGAGAGGCATACAATGGACTCCATTCACCATGCTTGAGGACCTTGATTTTGCAGATGATATAGCACTGCTATCACATAAACATGAACATATACAAGAAAAAAGTAACAGACTATACAGCACAGCAGAAATGGTGGGACTGAGAATAAATACAAAGAAAACTAAGATCATGACAAGCAGTCCAAACCAACAACCAGTCACCATAAATAAACAAACTCTGAAAAATGTAGAACATTTCATATATCTTGGCAGTGTGGTGTCCCTGCCTGGAGGGACCGAAGAGGACATACAGTCACGTCTGAACAAAGCTAGAGCTGCTTTTGGAAGGATGAGGCAAATCTGGAAATCCAACAATTACTGCAGAAGAACGAAACTCAGACTCTACAAGAGCATCATTTTGCCAGTTCTTCTTTATGGAGCAGAATGCTGGAGAATGACCAGAAAGGATGCACACAAGCTGTCCACCTTCCACCACACATGTCTACGTAGAATTATCAAAATTTTCTGGCCAGATACAATCTCAAACACTAAACTACTTCAAGTCACAAACGAAGAAACTTTAGACAGTATGATAACCAAGAGAAGATGGAAATGGCTTGGCCACGTTATGAGAATGAATCCTGATATACCCGCCAAAACAGCTCTCACATGGACACCAGAGGGAAAGAGAAAACAGGGGCGCCCAAAAAAAACATGGAGACGAACGATGGAAAGTGACCTGAGTGCGGCATCTTTGTCATGGAAAACTGCACTGAAGATTGCACAGGAGAGGAAAGCATGGAAAGTCCTCTCTGAAGCCTCATGTGCCACTAGGCATATGAGAACTGATGATGAAGGTCATGAGGAGCTTATTTCACAGGGTGCAGTGTTTGGTTCCTAAGTGCAATTCTTATGACACTAGAAGATTTTCACTGGAGATAAGGAGTTTGTATTTTAAAAGGGTGTCACTCTTAACAGATGGCTATCCATCCCTCAAAGAGAGGTCAAGCCATATAAGATCAAGTGCAATGAAGCAAATCTGTTTTAATCACTGTGCTAAAAAGTGAGCTTCTGTCTCTCTCTCTATCTCCCCCCCCCCCCCTTTTTTTTTTTACACACGCACGCACACTCACTCACAAAACTTTAAGCTGAGAACTTGTCCATGCCACAGACAATCTGGGGATATGACGTCAGACCAACATTTTCTTTTATTGTTATAGCTGGTTATAAGTTCTTGCAATCAAACTCACAGGGTCAAAGGAATAAAGGCAAATAAATGAAACACATTTAGAAGTGAATTAGCAAATGAGGTGAAAGACGGAAAGACAGGAGGTGACTTTCACATTAAGGAAAAGAAACGGGTGACTTTGTTCGAGGTGGTTAAGGGCCTATGCTTCATTGGGTGAAAGATGGCATAAGAATAAGAAGGCTGTTAACACACCCCCCCCCCCCTCTCCCCCAAAAAAAACACACACAAACACACAAAATAATTACCTCTGCATTTAAAACAAGTTAATAAGTACTCAGGCTTTTACAAAAAGAAAAACAAAAGCTGAATGGTGCAAATGCAGATTATCCCTGTAGCCAGCTGGTCACCTACACATTGGAGCCACCCTCACCCTAAGGCTCAACATTTACATTACATGCAATCAATATTTCCCAGAGACATCTCAGACAAGACTAGGTGATCTAGAAATATTAGTAAGAAAATAATCCCTTCCTCTACTGCAACTGAACTACACCCATTAAGTCAGTGTCCACGTCAATATATTTCCAAAACATGACACCATTCAACAACTCACTGTTCCATTGTTCCATTCTCCCAATTTGGGAAGAGAAAAATATATACTACCCCTCCCCTTCCCATAAGAATGCCATAAAAGGTGACTAATTAAGGCTTTGCTGAGATCGGATGTGTTGGGCCAAAAGGCACGGATATGGCAGCTTAGCTGTAAACAATGTCAAAATATCCCAGTCATGCCTTTAACTTTGTTGCTTTGGGAATACTAACAACTGGGTCTAACCCAGTGGGAATTCCTGAAAAAAAAAAGGAAACATGCTATTTTAGTATCTATATCTATATCCTGAGTTCTTTAATGTTGCACAGGCATGAAAACAGCCAATATCATAAATTGTATGTCTTGTGAACATGTCACTATAAAAGCAGGAAAAGTGACATTTATGGGAAACTGGACCCAACTGGAAGTGCTGGTTATGTGGCTCCACGAGGTGACAAGGTTAAGGGTGAATGCAGAAGAAGAAGATGAAGAATTCAACAATGAAGTAAAGAATTCAACAATGCTGACCTCGTTTGTTCATCTCCTCTTGCAATAAGTTCTCCATTTCATCATTCTCAGCGATGTCAATGGGAAGATCTCCATCATTATTTACTGCGGCCACATTTGCATTATGATTTATTAGATACCTGCAGGGAGGGAAACACACACACAAAAAACATGCACTTTCATTTTCTTTAGTAGCCACTGTAAACTAGTTAACCAACTTTAACATTTAAATGAATCAATTAATCTTTTTCTTCTTCTACTTCACTTTCACCAGCTGCAACATCCGGCAGAGAATTCTGGTTGTTCTTCCACTTCTGGATTTTAGTCTTTATCCAGAACCTGTGTCCTGCATGCACATACATTTCACAGATCTGACCTATCTTATGCAGACTGTTGGTGCCTCGCCTGTCAGGCAGACACACTAAAACTTTGAAGAAAAAATGCCTAATTAGTTGACTCTTATGACATGCTTCTCAGGGCCAGTGGGTCTATTTTAGTTTTCCTCACAATAGTGTCCCGACTCCACAGGGAATTGAATAAATCAATCAAAAATTGACATCAATGTACACAGGACACTCCCATGCATGTTCCATATGCACAGCAGCCAACAAAGAAGAGTTCCCATAGTGATGGTGCCATTGCAACCTGACTGGTAAAAAGTCATCCAGATCTTTATAGCTGTTATTTCCCCTTTTGGTAAAAAGTCATCCAATTTTTAATATTGGTATTAGTATTACTGGAGGGGGGGGGGGGCTTCTGCACTCAGGAGCAATAACTAAACATACGGCAGTGGTAAGGACAAAGAGGAAGTACAGGGTGGGGAGTAGCTTAAACAGTCATGTTTGAAAGATGGGAAAGGCCTTGGGGTGGCAAGAGCCTGAGGTGCAGTTAGGAGCAATGATTAAACATATGGCAGAGGTCAAGACAAAGATGAAGCAGAGAACAGGACAGAAGAATACAATTTGTCCTTTACTATCCCGGGTGAAACAGGATAATAAAATCTAGTATCATATACAGTTGAACAAACAATATTAAAAGCAATACAGTAGCACACTTATATAATCATTTAAACAAAGCACCAATACCCTACCTAGCTATTTCTGTAAATGCACAGGAAGCAGTAGCGTGCAAAGGAGTCCAGCCCTCATTATCACAGACATCTACATCAGCCCCCTTTTCCACCAGAAACTCCACCATTTCCAAGTTGTCATCTATACAAGCCTGAAAGCAGAACAAATCAAGTTGTATCCAGAACTGCCATCAATACTCTAAGTATGATACTAAGCATTTAGTCTTCTTTCTGTCTGATTACCTCCAACACAATAATCACCAGTATGACATACCTAATACTGCTCTAACAACAAATAATTAACAACACTATACATCAAATACAGCCCTAAAAACTAATAATGAACAACAATATATACCTAATACAGCTCTAGCTACACAATAATAAGAAAGCTACCTGTCAAAATCTCCCCTAGCCACACAATAATAAACAATACTATCTATCTAAACCTCCTCTAGCTACACAATAATCTACTATACTATCTGCCTAAAAATCCTCTAGCCACACAGTAATCATCAACACTATTTACTTCATTCAGCTTTAACAACATAATAATAATAACCAATACAATCTGCTAACACCCCTCAAACAATAAATAAACAATACTGTCTAATGCTCAACCAGCCACATAATAATTAACAATGCTGTCTGTCTAATACACATCTTACACAATAGTATCATAAATGCTACCTCTTGAATTTGACTACTTAGGGACACAGATGAAATCAGATTAGAAACATAGCACAGAAGCAATGAACACACACACACATTATATATATATTTGAGTGAGTGAGTGAGTGAGTGTGTGTGTGCGTTTTTTCCCCGCGTTTGTTAGTAGGAGCTTATTTCTGAAAGTTTTTTTTTACCGATTGCACAAACATTTTGAAACAACGTTGCATTCGAATACGTTTTTAAATAAGAGTGTCGCACAAGACACAAACTACATAGCACCAGCAACGATCACATCAGCATCTTGGTTTTGTTTTCTGATGATCCGATTTTTTTGTCGTTGCCGTATTACCGGCACGTGTTTTTATTTCTGCTGGTAAGCGAACTTTGACTGCTGACCTCAGAGATCTCCTTAAAGCTGTCGTTTTGGGCCCATGTCGGGGAAGTCACAGTCACCGCCTTGTCCGCAAGAGTAAACTGCTCATTGCAGAAGCAGTGGTAGTAGCAGCAGGAAAACAGTTGTAGTTGTGGTTGGCCGAGTAGTTACAACAACGTCGAGCCTCGGTAAGGTGATGGTACACTGGCCGCATTTACAATTCCTGCTACCCCTTTCAGTCAGGGTGGACATGAATGCCAAGGTCAATTTTAAAAAAAATGTCATGAATTTCAAATCTTTCGGAGAGGGAGAGAGGAGCGATAGGTAGATTGGGTAGGAAGGGGGAGGGGTGAAGACAGAAACCGTCTGAGCCACAGGCGCCAACCTGTGAGTTTTATAGGGGAAAAAAATGGATGACAAAGATGATGTTGATAAACACCCCCCTCCCCCCAAAAAAATAGCAGGTACACAAGCATAAGTATACTTAAAAAATAAGATACTTCGATTAAACATACAATACACACACGGAGAAATAAGGACCCAGAAAGTCCAATAAAATAATGCTTATCTTATTTTAAAAAACAAGCTGAAGCAAGATAGGAGCTAACAAAGCACAGTGAAATGCAATTATGTGTGAGAGGACTAGTGTTCTATTGATGACCTGACAATGATGAGTGGTCGGGAAAGCCCCACTACTCCACTGTTCAAAATATGGACAAGTGAAGTATTACAAACTTTCATTCTTCAAGTGCATTTCTCAGCCAATGTGAATAAAGTTACATGCAGCAATTATCTCAAGACCATCAGGAACTAACCAAACAATCCTAAGTTTTACAAGGAAAATACAGTTACAGTCTGTTCAAGAAGTCGTGCCCAAATTTAAAAATCTGTAACTCAGTAACCGTTCTATGTAAGTTGTTGAAATCTGGCCATGCAGTAACCATGCTCTTGTAAGAATTATTTTTTTTTTTTTTTAAATAATTGTAAGCAAGTGTCTAGTTTCATTTTGCCTTATTTGCGGTACATGAAAAAAAAAAACACCACAGGTACTAATTCAAAGCAAACAATCAGCATGCTTACAGTTAACTAAGTAACAGGAATTTTCAAAATATCAAATCGCATGCATTTCACTCTCAGGTGGTCCAGCATTAGTCTCCCATGATTCGGGGTTTTTCATTGTATGTAGAATAGGCTATAAAAATAATCATTACGCACCGCTCCATATGTGAACTATTCCATACAATCTTCGCGCGTGTGTCAATTACTACTCTATATTCTATTTTTTAGGGGTACACAAACTGATAGTCAAACAATGATCAAAGAAATGCCCTGCTTTAAGAAAATACAGCATTGTGCAACTGCAAACTGTAAAATCATAAGGTCAGGTGAAATCTAAGGCCACAAGCCAAAAAAAAAAAAAAAAAAAATTTCGCGTTGATCAGTACAGGAGTTTTCGAGATATTTGTTAAAGTGTGAGGGCACGACTGTGGAAACACACTTTACCTCTCAACCCAATGCTATGGTCCAGTGGATGGAGGGGAAAGAGGAGGATTTCCAGCTGCAAGAGATTTTTTTACGTGCGCAACAATGCACACGGGCGTCCGATCTCACTACCCAGAGACCAGGGGAATGCACACGGGCGTCCGATCTCACTACCCAAAGACTAGGGGAATTACTAGAAGTCCAAGTCCATGTGAAAAAATCCCAGCCCTTACCGGGGATTGAACCCGGAACCTCTAGCACTCGAGGTGGACACTATTGCTCAAGACCCCGCAGACCCTGATGCAATACTGTGAAGCAGACTTCTCGTTTGGATGGATATTTGTTTTTAACGAATCATGTTAGCTTAGTGGGTAAGGACTCTTCTTCACGCCTTCTGGCCTTGTGGGCATATAGTGTTAAAGTGAAGGTCCTTTTTCCCCACCTTTAGGCTTATTGGGAATATAGGGCTAGGCCTATATTTTTATAGACCACGCCCATCTGTATCTTATTTATATCTAAAGATGGCAGTGTATAGACCAATCGACACTCGATGGTCGATGTCAGCATCACACCGACCGAGTTCAGTAGGCAGGTATATGAAACAGGAGAGGTAGGTGGAATAGCCTGGAAGGTGAGTGAGTGAGGTCAGAAGGCATTTGAGTTAGTTAGGCAATAAGTATGCGGGATGGCCTCGCTCATAAGAAGGCTGCTTTCAAAGGTAAGAAACACACTGCCCGGAGGTAAGTTGGGTTTGCGAGCAGGGTAGAATGCGAATTTTGATATGTGACTTCGCCCCCCCCCCCCAATGGAATGAACGTCGTGGCGGCGGGGTTGGAAGCGGTGGCTGTAGTGCTGGTGTGTGCGTGTGTACACATTTAGTTGTATCTATACCCTCACTTTTTCAAAAACTAGCGCAAGCTGCCACCAGCACCCACACTAGCAAAACACACACTGCCATCCGTACCCACTCACCTACACACACACACACATATATATATATATATATATATATATATATATATATATATATATATATATACTGACACATGCAGTACAACACAGTCTTAGGCAATTAATAATTTCGTGCTATGATCCGTCCATGTGTGGATTAAGTGGTGGACTGAGCAGAACCAGATGTGCGGGCCGCCACACAAATCAAAGCCGACACAAAATGGATCAGGCGTATTTTCCCAGCCAACAAACAGCGTGTAATCAGAAATGAACAAACACATGACACTGGAAAGGTGGGAGGAGGGGCGAACACTCTGATGCTGCCAGAAAAAAAAAAACCGGACATTAGCCAGGGAGAAATTAATTAACAAGCAAATGACAACTGCCTATATTCAGGTTCATAACAATGGTACAATTGTGTTTTTTTTTATTTATAAAAAAAATGGTAATCACATGTCAAATAATGCAGTCTCTCTCTCTCTCTCTCTCTCTCTCTCTCTCTCTCTCTCTCTCTCTCTCCTCTTTTTCTATCTCACACACACATACAAAAAAAACAAATCTAACACAATAATCACTAGCAGATTATTTGCAACTAAAATGTTCTGCTATGATTTGATCATATGTGGATTCTATTAAAGCGACGGTGAAAAGGGCTGACTGAGTCCAGGGTATCTGCCAAGGCATGCGCAACAGTGTATAATGGTACAAGTAGCATTCTGATTATAAGCTCCCACAAGGCCCCATCCACGTCTGCCTTATCATGCATCTAAATTCCAACAAGTCGTGAAGAGCCGGCCAGTCTGTCCACCTGTTCATTTCCCAACACACCGGCACTTCCTAAAAGGAACGATCCAGATGATATTCCTCAACAGTGACCTCTGAAGCGAAGCATGCCACTCTGCACAAAGCATGTCTGTCCTCACCCTCCTCAGCATGTTTTCTGAGTCAGTTACAATTACGATGTGTGTGTGCGTATGTGTGTGTGCGCGCGAGCACGTGTGTGTGTTGTGCGTGATGTTCTCAAACCAGCGGAAAGCTGCGATGACAGCCTCCACTTCCATTTTAAAGCTGGGTGTTGTATATCACACAAAGATCTATACCAACGGGTCGCTGATTGAATTACAAAAAGACAGTGAAGTTCATACAAGAGACAACATTGCAGATATAGGTAATGCATTTCAAGAGTACGAAAGAAGAAGTACACCAAGTAAACGTTTTCGCGTATAAACAGGACGTATACTAAGCTGAACGTATATAGGGTTACCACTGTAGTTGTTAGAGTGACAACTTATTAGAAAACGGAAAGTTAAAATAATATCCCTTGGGACTGAAAGAGTTGAGTAAAAATGCAGCCAGACTAATCCGTATCAGAAACCTTCCTGAGCAAGATTTTTAGGCGGAAATCAAGAGGAAGACCAAGTAAGATGTGTATAGACGGTGTAGCTGAATCCTGCAGAAAGATGAATAAATCCATCAAAAACTCACGCCACTTCAGATGTTCAAGTTAGTTGCGTATCCTTTACAGGACGTTGCAGAACCAACCCCAACTTGTTCTTGTGTGTGTATGTGTAGCTTTTGTGGCTTTTCTAGGCAAATTTTACGATCAGTAGATTTGTTATTGCTTCCTGGACGGGCAGCTCTCAGTACCACTGTTGAAACAAACGCAAGACAAAC